AGGTATTCGGCCAATCACAACGCATTGGATATCTGGCCAATCAGAGCACACCTCGCTTTTCAGACCGATTAGTTTTGTAAAAATCGACGCGTTTCAGAAAGGCGGGGCATAGAGGAGAAACAATAATGTACAGTATGTGGAAAATTGTGTTTTTTTTTACCTTAAACCGCATAAACACATTTCATTACACCAAATACACAAAATAATGTTCTTTTTAGCAGCATCATATGACCCCTTTAAAGAGAAAAAAAAGAAAAGAAAAAAGAAGCATCTGGTTGTACATTATATTAAAAAACACTGTATGATACATATCACACCACTAAAAGGAAAAGTCCTGCCATTAACCACCTTTTATCATTATTTCACAGTACAACCAATGACTCAGAGGAAAAAGATGCTCTGGGCCTCTTTTGCTGAACAGTGGAAAGACCTTCTGATTCAAGCCCACGCTTACATTTATATAATAGCAGCCTACTGTTTTAGGAAACTTGAACCCTATTTAGATCCTTCAGTCAGTGGATATGTAGCTAAACACAGCCAGCCCTGAGCTTTCGTGTTTCTACACGGGAAAAGAAAGACGGAGAGAGACCGACAGATGAGTGGAGAATGTGTGAGTAAGAGAGAGATGTGGTGACCAGTCTAGTGAATGAATGCTGAACGGGGAATACTGTCTGGCAGCAAAGTGAGGAAACTTGGTTCCTCTTGGATCATCTGCTGACAGCAATCGTGCCAAAACCCTGTATTTCCAGTAACTACAGTGTAACGAGAAACATACTTTCATCTTGGCCATGAAACAGTGAGAGTAACATGACCACCCAGGATCTGAGATGATTTGGAGTGCACTGAACAGCTTTATCATTAAAGTCACCTACTGTAAGCATTTCCTTATTCAACACTATCATTAAAAACTCAGTGAACTGAGAGAAACTGCATTCCCACAGGACTTAATACAGCGTTGGCTGTGGAAGTGAAACCCGAGCCCTAAATATTCAGTCACAAGTGTGCTTTAGTAATTACATGGCATGAAGCAGAAAGAGAATGCATGAAATTACACATGCACACTTGTTTGTATATCAGTCAGACAATATGTAATTCCTTTTGTTATTCCTTTCGTCAGTCTTTCCATTCATTTTGAAGAAATATGACGGGACAAGTGACATTGAGCAACCTTCTTTCTTTAATTGCCCTCCTTAAATTTCCCTATTAACACAGATTAAGAAAATTAGGCCGATATCCATTTCGAGTTTAGCTTGTGACTGCGTGTGACATCTTCGCGCTGTCCAGAATAAGTCTTTAACTTCGATAAACTAGATTAACTTTGAACGAATTGCAAAAGGGGCAAGAGCATCAATCATATTGATCGCATATAGCCTACAATCAATACTGCAGCCTTTCAGGAAAGATGCGGGTCGTTTTGTTGTGTGTTTATAAAGATGAGATGAATCAATTATGTAATATTAATGAGAAAGTGTACTACTTGATAATTCACTCAGGACTGAAAATACAGAAGACCGCGAAGAACAGGTTCATGATGCACGCGCGTGTAAATGTCAGAGATTGTTTCAAGACAGCTGTGATATATATATATATATATATATATATATATGTGTGTGTGTATATATATATATATATATATACACACACACATATATATATATATATATATATATATATATATATATATAAAAGAGGTAATGCTTTATTTAAGAACCAAGACTCATAAATAATAGGTAGTAATGAATCGCTCAGTGATAATGAGGAAATGCTAATTAACGGAAAAACTCACCTCAGGGGGATTTTTACAGCCAGATATCTGTCGATGGCAACCGCCAGAAGACTAAATATTGAACTTTGAGTCAGTACCAGAACAAAACACGCCAGGAAAAGGCATCCGTAAAAGTCTGAGTGCAGACCAATGCTTATTGTAATGGCAAAAGGAATGGCAAGACATCCAACCAGAATATCTGCCACGGCTAGAGACACCAGAAAGTAATTGGTGGCGTTCTTGAGAGTGGAGTTGATGGCCACAGCCCAGCACACCAGCACATTACCGGCGATTGACAGGACGGCGATCACCAGCTCAATAGCGATATACAGCGAATCCATTGCTGCTCACTTGACTGAGAAACACCTTCAGACCGTAGTTAGGATGTCATGAGTCTGTCTGTCACTCTGTGCTGCTTGTCCAGTGGTAAAAGAACCGATTTGCAATAATCCACGGATCTCCAAAGTTTGTGATTTGCCAACACGGCCATCTGTTGATTTAAACAAACAACGTTATTTGTATTCATTCTTTGAAGAGAATCATTCAAAACCATTAGAGGCAGATAAAGACGCGTTGTTTCTTTCCTCACTTCTAGAAGTTCCCACTGACGAGAAGAAACATTTACATTTTGATGAGGTGGAGTTACTTACCCTCATTTCAGAATTGTTTTTTTATTGTTTGACTTTCCTCTTTAAACTAGCTTGCATTCGCGTCAGAGAAGTAATCTGACGCACCGCGAGCGCAACACATGGCTTTTCAAGCAGCTTCACGGAAAACAGCCTGTACATCACAGCTCGACGCCACGCCCAGCGATGCGCTGCCACACAAGCTCAATGATTTTAATGAGCAATTTCAAATAAAACACACATTTTGGATTGTCCGCTGACAACTATTATAACGAAGAATAAATGATAAAGAATAAATCTAATCAAACTAGATTTGTCTTTCCTTAAACAAATTGTAATACTTGGAAAGCAGATTTAAGAATAGCGTTAAAGTAAAATCATAGTAAGATAAGTTGAAACACTAATATAGGCTAGATAAACAAATGGAGAGGGAGAGCGATATATTATATAGCTATAATAGAATGCAGCCGATAGAAAGCTTCTGTGGTCTTGCATTCTGTAAATACGATTATAATTATGCAAATAGGCATATATGACCAATCAGAATTCCAGTGTGCAAATTTTACGGTGACATTTAGTTCTTGCGCGTTGAATTTGAATGGCGAATATTCTATCAGTGGCTTTAATATAATTGTTTAAACAAAGTTTCATGATGATTATAATGAAAGTTTAATAATGTAGTATAAGAAAATGATGAATTACCTAAAAATAAATAAAATGAATGGAGTCGCTAAATTATTTGCAGATGTTCATTTGGTTTAGTGCAAACTCTTACTGGAAAAAGTTGGAAACATTTGCCATGTTCATTAGTCCCTGTAAAATCTGTTTATCTGCCCTTCAAGATGGATTCTATTTTTGTCCTTATTGACATTTGACATTGATTGAACTTATCTGTGTGTTTAGCTTATAGATGTTTGGTACAAAAGAGTCAGATTTTCTGAAAATTGAGCATGTAGTGTTTCTGAGAGGATCTTGGTGAGTGAAGTGACAATATTGTGTAATTGCCAAAGATTTACCATGTGGACTCTGTGTATCTCTAGCCACACACGCATTTCAGCACATCATTTTAAGGGTTTGTAGCAGACCTATAAAAAACGGAGCCAGTATGACTCCTAAATTGTCAAAGTGCCCAATTTCACTTCTGCATAAATCACATGGGAGGAGAAATAATAGTAGCATTTTGTGAATTAATATGACATTTGTTTCTGAGATTCTCTATTCTGTTCTAATAAAGGTGACTGTAGCTTTTTAATTCAAACAAGCAAACAATATATATGATGACACAAACCTTTATTACCATTATCATCAATTAACAGTCTTCTATCATGAAGCAAAACTGAAGTTTCAAATAGAAAAAACACATTCCTTTGCGATCTAAATATTTAAGAGCAAAGAAGTCAATAAATAGCATTTCCAATAAGAAAACATTTGAAAACACAGATGCAGTCTGTTTTTTTGTATACATGTTTTGCTTCTGTTGAGAGAGAAATTATTATCAGTTGCCCATGCGTTTGAATGAACAAAGAGTTCTTGTTAGAATTTGGCACAAATTACACTGCTGACCAGCCTAAACACATTCCTTTGAGAGTATTTTCCCAATACTGATATTTTTTTTAAACATTGTTTAAAATATATTTAATTTAAACACATCCCATGTAATTTAAACAGGCACAAAAAGCATTAAAGAATCAATAATGGTTGTTTGAAACAGTCTCATAATATTCAATCAGATATTGACTTTCTGGCATTTTTTTTCAGGAAATAATTAACTAGAGTAATATAGAAATAATCTTAGTGTTTGTTAATAAGGAATACGTAAATGCACAAAAAGTCAGTTAAACAATTGGGACATTGTAAAGTTTTTGATGGTTATTGTCTCTCTAAGTGACAAACTACAACTTTTCAACAAAACCTATGAAACTTATTTTCATAGTTCACTAAGGTTTTATGTCTTACCAAGACATATTACAAGTCAAAATTATTTGTGGGAAAACTAACATTTTAAAAATACTTTATAAGTATATCAATATATAAGTATGTCAATATATAGATTTGGGTAATAATACTCTCTATAAAGATTAGCAGCTGCACTTCAACTCTTAGCAAAAATTTAACATACTAAAAAAACTATACCAGTTTCAGTGCAAGATTGCAAACCTACACTCTGCAAGCAACTTCAAACTTCAAAAACTGAGTTAGGTCTATATGACACACGAATTGTAAGGAAAAGAGAAGTTGTGTGTTTGCGTGTGTATGACTATTGTACTGAATATGATATGCTGGTTGTATTCAGAGAGAGAACCTGACTGGTGTGAACACTACAGAACTGTGTGTGTTTGTGTATTTAGAAACACTGTAGGGAGAACTGGACCAGGCAAATAAAAGTGCTTCTGTGCCCTCCTCTTCGTCTTCATCTTCCTCTTCCTTTCTTCCAGTCAAAAATTAAGTCTCAAAATACTTATAGATCTGAGATACATATTGCATGACACTTTGCCAGTCCGGTCGGTCTGTGTGCATCAACTCATCAATGTCCTACAGAGAGAGCAGATGTAAAAGTTTACATGCAGGAAATACTTTTTCACACATTTTCATGCATGCTTCTTAACTATGTGAACTTATGCATCGTATTTTGTTTTATTTAATTATTTTACCCATGCCTTAGTCTTGCATTCCTGAACTATAAAAATCCATCTTAAAGATATTATAAATAATATTATTTATTAATTATGTTGATTTGAAAAAGGAGTAAAATAAACACAAACCATTTCAATATCTATTGTGTACATAATAACTGTTTTTCTGACAGTAGTGCTGCCATTTCCACTGCAATAAACCATTCTGGCCTTAAAAGAATAGTTCACTCACATATTACAATTTGCTGAAAATGTACTCACCATCAAGCTATCTCTTCTTTGGAACAGATTTTGGCAAATGTAGCATTACATCACATGCTCACTAATTGATCCAATGGAGGGAGTGAATGGGTGACGTCAGAATGACAGTCCAAACAACTGATAAAAACATCACAATAATCAAAAAGTAAAACATGCGACTCCAGTAAAGAAAAAAAGAAGAAAAAAACATGTTTGTAATAAATCCAATATAACGATGTTTTTAACTTTAAAGGTGGGGTATGTATTTTTTTCAAAAACGCTTTAGAAAACTGAGTCGGGCCGAGTACCAAAACAAACTTGTAGCCAATCAGCAGTAAGGGGCGTGTCTACTCGTGAAGTGGAGGAGAGAGAGAGAGCGCTCAGTGCACAGGACGGACATTAGCCGAGCCGAGCGATGACAGAAAGATAGAGATGGTGGATAAAAAAACAAAAGAGGAAAACGTCTGCGAAACAAAAGAAGGCTTACGATAAGGCAAGAAGTAGGACCCGTGTAAATCTCGGATAAGCTTTCCAGCGCTGGAGAGAACTCAAGGAGCGGAAGGCCTGAGATCGGACGCAGAGGTTGTTTTGTTTCTTCTCGACAGGTGAGTAACATTGGTTTTGCTTTGTTTCACAGAACAACATATATTAATATGCTGTTAAAACACATATATGCACGTTAAAACACACAGTACTACCAAAACACATTCAACCTGTATTACCCTAGTAACACACATTGCTTTCACTTATTGATGACATCATACCCTCAGCCGGCTGGCACAGCAGATTCCGCCATAATCGTTGCCTGGGTTGCGTACGTATATGTGGGGCGGAGCTATCAAAATAGGGGCGAGACCCTTTTGGGGTAGGGGCGT